AGACTAAAGAGGTGGTTAGACATGGGGGCTTATATACCATTTTTTTAAAAGATGGTAAATTTCGGGAGAGTGGCAGGTCAAAGGAAAAGAGGTTTGGGCTTCTAGGAGTGGTAAATTGAGGGAATGTATATATATGGGGGAAACTAATGGAAGATTAGGGCTATTTTAGTAAGGTTTGTTTGTGCAGCCCCATCTTGATGCCGACTTTCTGTCTCCAGTGATAATGGTAGTTTTTCCTCCTCCTGGAATGGGAGAGGGAAAGGGGAAGACCTTCACAATGGGAAATGTATGTCCTGCTTTTAGACAGATAGGAGGAGGGCAGAGAGCTCTTTCTGTGTTTCCTGCTTCTTAATTGCTGAAGTGGCATATGTTGATCTCCTATAGGCTTTAAGGAATTCTGGATTTCTTCTAATTTCAGAGAATTAAAGTGTTAATTCTTTGATTACCTACCTTCACAGAATGAAGTTTTTTCTGTAAATTAGGAGGTGGACAGGAGAAGCTGGCCTAATTGCTTTTTAAGTCTTATTCTTGGAAGTAGCTAGGGCAACCTCTTTCAAGACCTGGATTTTCCCTATCCTTGTTCTGATCTCATTGTAGGCCACTTCTTTCAAGGCTGACTCCCAACCCTTCCCCTTCTCTGTTTGCGTCTTTCTCTTAAGATTCCTGAATGAATATATTTTTTTTTTTTTTGCGGTACGCGGGCCTTTCACTGTTGTGGCCTCTCCCGTTGCGGAGCACAGGCTCCGGACGCGCGGGCTCAGCGGCCATGGCTCACGGGCCCAGCCGCTCCGCAGCATGTGGGATCTTCCCGGACCGGGACACGAACCCATGTCCCCTGCATCGGCAGGCGGACTCTCAACCACTGCGCCACCAGGGAAGCCCAATCATCTTTTTTTAAAATGACATTTGAAATTTTTGGTTTATTTAAAAAATAAAACTATGTATATCCATACTCTCCCTTTTTAAGGTCGTTTTCTCCCTTTCTTGAAGTGACCATTTCCAGAAGGCAGTGTTCTACTTCAAATAAAAATTAGAGTCTTTCAGAAATTGGGTGAGATTTGATGAAATATCTTGTAGAGTTTCTGTAATTCCCCAGTATTTTGTCTGCAGTATTTTAGCTGCTAGTGATCAGATGTTTTTAGTTGTACATTTTGTGTGGTTAGAATGTGCAATTTTCAAGAATAAGTCTGTGGTTTTTAACAGTAACAACTAGACTGATTCTGAAAAAGATAGATGTTTAGTTTTCTAACAATAAAACAAAAGCCATAAAAGGAGGAAATACTGATTTAAAATTTCATCTGCTTAATGTTTTTAAATAAAAATTATAAGTTATTTATAAAATTTCAAATTTAAATACCTGAATTTTATGAAATCAAATTTTTGTGGGTCTCTCTTTCAATTATATACAGGTTTATCTTATGATTTAAGGTTTCTATTTGCGTGACTTGTCTTAGAATGTCAAAGTAGACGTGATCATTCTCTGCTTTTCTAATCCTGTTAAAATTAATTTCCATGATGGAATCAGTAGGTGATGGATACTAAGTGATAAAAAACTGGAATTTTAAACATGACTCTTCTTCTTCAAAAGACTGTATGCTTTTAAGATAATGAACATTAAATTAAAATTAATTTTTATTATCTCCTTGAGATAGTGGAAATTCTTGAGAGATCATAAAACCAGGGTTGGAAATATTAGACTGTTACTCATAGTTAAGAACCCACTTCGAATCCTTAGAGCTCTATTCATTTGGGATTAGAATTCTAAAATTATAGACCTCCATTTCAGTATGACGTTAATGACAAAGACTAAAGAATGATTTATAAAATGAAATAGAACATAAACCAAAGCTTTAAGTCAGTGGGATGATTTGAATGCCTGATTTCTTGTGAAATTTGTGAGAGGAGAAAAGTGATAAATCAAACTTTTTTGAACAATGTTCCATGACCCTGTGTCATCCAAATCATTCCTCTGAAGAACTCTTCTAAGTATATAAGCAAAATTGTTAAAGGTTTAATGTTTCTTATAGCTAGCATGTTAATCTTAGACTAAATTTATGTTAGTTGAACTTTATTTTTATGTGTTATTTTGAATATAAATTTTCACCGTTTGAAATGATATTAATTTCTGTTTCACATTTTCCCTTTTTTTTTTTTGATGTGGACCATTTTTAAAAGTCTTTATTGAATTTGTTACAATACTTCTTTTGTTTTATGTTTTTGGTTTTTTTGGCCCCAAGACATGTGGGATCTTAGCTCCCCGACCAGGGGTTGAACCCACACCCCCTGCATTGGAAGGCGAAGTCTTAACCACTGGACCGCCAGGGACGTCCTCTCACATTTTCCCTTTTATGTTAAGTTAATCATATCTGGTTTTGTTGTTGCCAACTTCTTGGTTAGTAATGTAATCCCCAATTAAAACATAATTTTTTTTTTTTTGCGTTACGCGGGCCTCTCACTGTTGTGGCCTCTCCTGTTGCGGAGCACAGGCTCCGGACGCGTAGGCTCAGCGGCCATGGCTCACGGGCCCAGCCGCTCCGCGGCATGTGGGATCTTCCTGGACCGGGGCATGAACCCGCATCCCCTGCATCGGCAGGCGCACTCTCAACCACTGCGCCACCAGGGAAGCCCCAACGTCATTTTTTATGATGGAAAAAAAAAACCAAAGATTAACTTCATAATGTGATTTCTTGGATTATTTTTTCGAATAACTCTAACTTTTGGGGTCTGGTTAGATGGAGAACTTAACCATTTACCTTATTCTTCACATTCACTTTTGTATTCTATTTACCACCTACTCATTTTTAAAAATGATTTTTTTAGAATTAAATTATGGGGATGCATATATAATGAAAGGGCTTTTTTAAAAATGGAAATGGTATAAGACACTTTATCCAAATGTTAATTTTTATATGTTGGTAATTTTGAATTAGATACTTATTTTATTCTATAAGATTAGTAGAGTGTATAATTTAAGTGTTGATAAATTATAGGTGTGTGTTATGTGCATATGAGGGTTTAACATTTTATATGTTACTGAGTGTTTTAACTAGTTTATAAATGCTTTTTTAAAAGATGAAAATATCGCAGGATAGATTAGACAGCCACATTCCAGAAGGTTTATTTATAAAGCTAAACTTTTATTATGAGGGATCTACTGTAATGAAGATCCTGTAGGACAAAATGATTTCTAAATGCTCAGCTGATAGCTAGCTTATAAATTTCAGTATAATAATGAAATTGTGATCTGTTTTTAGAGCTCTTTAAAATGGGATTTAGCCCAGAGTTAAAAGTGGTTAAGGTTTATTCAGTGATTTCTGTGTGCCAGGCATTGAGCTATGTGCTTTATGTATATTATCATTTAATCTCCATTATAACTCTGTGAATTAAGTTATATATATATATATATATATACACGCATATATATGCATATATACGTGTGTGTGTGTGTGTGTGTGTGTGTGTGTGTGTGTGGGCAAAGCACAGAGATTAACTAACTTGGCCAAGGTCATACAGTTAATAAGTAGTTGAGTCAGAGTTTGAACCTTTTATTCTTCACCAAATTTTACTGTTTATGGTTAATAAATGTTTAAAATATACATTAAAGTATAAAAAGCTGAATTAAACCTTAGAGATAATACACCTGAACTAAGAGCTGAGACCCAGAATTGTAAGGTAACTTGACTGAAAGTTGTGCCAGTGCTGGGGCTATGACTTGGTTCTTCTGGCTTCTAGCCTAGTACTCTTTTTATGTGTAGACTCTACAGCTGTGGATTGTGGAATGGCTTAATTTCCCCCTTACCAGAGAGTGTATAGGACTAAATGCATTACCTTTATTATTTAACACAGTGACATTGCATCAGGTGGTATCTATCAATGGCTAAAAGTAAAATTTTCAAACAGTTTAAAATTTAGACCCCACATTTCCTTTGACTTAAATTTTTTGTAGGAAAAAATCAGTAAAGCAGTTTTAAAAAATTTTGTATATTTAAAAAAATTTTTGCTATTGTATGTGTGGGAACCCAGAAAGCAAATTCTTGTTTTAAATAAGGCAATTCAATTTTTTAAAAATAGATTTTATTTATTTATGGCCAAGTTGGGTCTTTGTTGCTGCGTGCGGGCTTTCTCTAGTGGCACCAAACGGGGGCTACTCTTTGTTGTGCGTGGGCTTCTCGTGGTGGCTTCTATTGTTGCGGAGCACGGGCTCGAGGCACGCGGACTTCACTAGTTGTGGTGCACGAGCTTATTTGCGCCGCGGTATGTGGGATCTTCCCAGACCAGGGCTCGAACCCATGTCCCCTGCATTGGCAGGCGGATTCTTAACCCCTGCGCCACCAGGGAAGCCCCAATTCAAATTTTTATATGTTTATTCTAAAAGCATTTGTTTTGAATTATAAACATATTATATTATAAATTTTTGAAGGCAAATACTGTGACTTATTTATCTTTGTTTTTTCCCTAGAACTTTGTACATTACCTTACATACAGAAAGCAATGAGTATGATTAGTTTGAATAGTTATTTTTTGAATGAATTAATCTATGACGAAGTACTATATCCAATTAATTTTTTCCTTTTAAGTTTCATTGATTAAAAAACCCAGAGAAATATAAACTAAAACTTATTTAAGATTATGTTGTATTATGGAATGTGAAGAATACATAACAGTTAAAGATTAATGTCACTTAGCATCTGAAAAATTCAGATTTGTTAAAATAGTACATTATGAGGCAATTATTCATTTTTACACAAGGATGCTTTTAAAAAACTATTTGTAATTTAATAATTTCAGACTTCTTCAAATATTAAGAGCTTAATAGAATCACCATTTTACTTATTAAATTTGGGTTCATTCAAGAAAGGACCAATTATGTAGAGTGAGTTAAATGTTTATGTTAAACTTATCAAATTTAAAAATTGAGCTTTTTACAGGAAAAATGATTAAGTATGTGTATATTTAATTTAATGAAATCCATTTTAATACTAGGTATCTTTATTTTATAGGAAGGAAAAGAGACATAACTTGCTGCCTTGTGTGGAGTCACATGATGATCAAAATTAGATCCAAGAATTTCTAAACCCCAAGTTTCACATTTCAGTATTTGGCTTTACTTAAAGTGACTCATAAAATTGACTGATATCTTTTGTCAGTACTTAAATGACAATTTACAGAAAGTCAGCTCTTCAACTTGATTGGCGACAACCCTTTTCAGCCAAAAAGTAAGTGTTGCTGCCACTACTGATACTAGTGTATGTGGCTTTTGTACCAATAACTTTGCATCACGAGAAAGGCTGAGAGGTAGGCACATTTCCTTAAAAACAAAAACACTTAAAATTGTTAAGGTAGCAAATGCTCACATAAAAACAAATAATGTGAATTAAAATATGAGTAAAGTAGAAATGAAATGATTTCTCTCTGTGCCTGGTGATCGCTACTATTATTAGTTTGGTATGCATAGTCATGTATGTTTCTTTTATGCATAGACAAAAATTAATTATTTCTAAAAAAATTGTAAAGCTGTTACGTATCTTCAAAAATTTTTTTCTCAACAATATATCCTGTATATATTGACAATGGCAGTACTGTGCTAAAAAGAGTAAGCAAGATCTTTGTCTTCTGCATGAGTTTGGTAGGGCTGCCATGACAAAGTATCATAGACTAGATGGCTTAAATGACAGAAGTTTATTTGCTCACAGTTCTGGAGCCTAGAAGTCTAAGATCAAGGTGTTGGTAGGGTTAGTTCCTTTTGAGGGTCCTGAGGGAAGGATCTGTTCCAGGCCTCTCTCCTTGGCTTATAGGTGGTCATCTGCTTCCTGTGTCTTCAGAGGGTCTTTCCTTAATACGTGTATCTGTGTCCTGATCTGCTATTCTTCTTTCTTTTTTAAAAATAATTAATTAATTTTGGCTGTGCCAGGTCTTAGTTGAGGCACATGGGATCTTAGTTGCAGCATATGGACTTCTTAGTTGTGGCATACATGTGGGATCTAGTTCCCTGACCAGGGATCAAACCTGGGCCCCCTGCATTGGGAGCGCAGAGTCTTACCCACTGGACCACCAGGGAAGTCCCCTGATCTGCTCTTCCTTTAAGGAAACTGGTCATAGTGAATTAGCGCCCACACACTGTCCCATTCATATATATATGTATGGTATATAGCTATATATACCCTCTTTATATATCTAGTTAAGCATCACTTGTATCCATCTCCATTGCTGTTACTTTAGTTTAGACCTTCAGTACTGTTTCTCTTTTTTCCCTCCTCCCCTCCTCTTACTCTTCCTTTTTCTCCTCCACCTCAGCTTAAAGTAATATATATATACATAGTTTTAAAAAATCAAACAATCTAAAAAGGCTTTAAGGGGTTTAACCTCAGTTTCTTGAAGAGTGCTTATGCACATATATATGTGTGCTGTCTATTGCATAGTCAGTTTTAACCATTTTCTAATGATGTTTATCATGAGGATTTATGCTTTCTTACAGCTACGCCTTCCTTCCCTCTAAGTATCTCCTAACATAAAAAATCAAATCCATATTTGATATTTTCATTATGATGACCATATAAATACTGTTCACTGACAAGCATGGTAATATGCTATTAATATGCCATTATATATAGAATAGCATATGAGAGGATACATTTCTTTTTATTTTTTTCTTTCTTCTGGTGTACCCAGCAATTAATACTTTTCATGTTTTTTTAATTTGCTAACTTGTATTGAAGTCTATAGCTAAATCTTCTCACACTCTCAAGAGCCTCTCAATTCAGGTTTTTATACTGTAAAACTTGTCAGGTAGTCTAAAAGTTTATACTTTAATCATCTTTTCTTTGGCCTCCTAGAGACATTACTCCTGAAGGTACTGTTCTCCTGAATTAGTCTGGACTGGTTGTTCTCTAGGCCTACTGAACTTCTGTTGTTCTGGGACTTTGTATTGTGATGAATGCCATGTTTTCTTCATCCTGTGTCTTCCTCTTTCTTGACTGAGTCTCATGTTTTGGTGGATTGTATAGTAGCTTCCTGAGAAAGGGTGCCTGGGAAGTAAATCTTGTGTGATGTTGCTGGTCCTTACTCTCACACTTGATGAAAAGTTTGAATTCTAAATTGAAAAATAATTCTGGTAAGAATTTTATAAGTATTACTTTACTGTCTTTTAGTTTCTATTCTTATTACTCTTGATCTTTTCTATATGATCTGTTTCTGCCCCCCAACCCCTACAGATCTGAGGATATTCTCTTTATCTTTTTTGTTCTGAAATTTGGTAATTATATGTCTTGGTATAACTTTTTTCTTGATTGTTGTACTGAGTATTAGTGGGATCTTTCAACCAAGAGATTTTTGTCTTCTGATCTAGGAAATTTTCTTACATTATTTCTTTGATAACCTACCCCCTGCTTTTTCTCTGTTCTCTTTCTATAAATTTTATTAGGTGAGTGTTGTACTTTTGAAATTGATTTTCTAACAACCTTGTGTTCTCTGTTTTGTTTATATATATACTTGTGTGTGTGTACGTATGTATGTATATATAAATTTTTTTTTTCTCTCGTAGTTCCACCTTTGAGGACATTTTGGTTTTTTTAACTGAATTTAAAAATTTGGCTATCGTATTTTTAGTTCTATTTTTGTTTCTGAACATTACTTTTTATAACATCCTTTTTTGTCTCATATCTCTAAAAATGCTAGTTATATTTTTTCTAGTATTTGTCTTGCTTTTTGCATTATCTCTTTTCCTTAGGACTCTTTATTTGTTTTATTGATTTTGGTCTGAAAGACGAGGTTTTCCGAAAATTTCTGGTGCTAATTGGTTGTCTATTACTGAGGCACTAAAATGCTTCCTAGGAGGTCTGTGCTTGGTCAGAACTTCTAGGGTGGTCATATTTACTGTATGTTCTTTGGTCTGTTTCTTCAGGTGGGAAATGTCTAATTTTCCCGGATTGGAATAAGCCTCACTTTGTTCTTTTATTTTAGCCTAGCACCTCATCCCTGCTTTGCTGTGTACCTGGCATTCCTGAATTTGATTCAGTTTTTCTGTTATATCTCCCACCTGTTGCCTCTTATTCTTAGTTTATCTGCCTTTTGTTAGTACATTTTTTTTTTTTTGGATAATGGTTAGGTGCAATCTTTTTTTGTAGATACAATCATATTCTAGGCATATAACTGAAACTGACTTTGTTCCCAAATTTTCTGTCCACTGTAAAGAACTACTATCAACCATCATCCATCTGTCTATCTGTCTACCTATCATCTCTTTATCTAAATCTTACTAGTTTATATCTTAGAGAGTGAGCTCTGGGTTTCTCATTGTTGCTACCATGTACTAACTATAAATATCAATTCAGAAATTGCTATTAGGATTATTAAAGTAGATCTTAAATATCATACTATGTATTACAAAAAATGTATTTATTTTTCTTTTTGAAAATAAGGTTTGCTTCTCTCCTTTTGAAAATTAGATAAATCAAAAATGGCAGAACTCTTTATGGAATGTGAAGAAGAAGAGTTGGAACCATGGCAGAAGAAAGTAAAAGAGGTTGATGATGATGATGATGATGAGCCGATCTTTGTTGGAGAGATATCAAGTTCAAAACCAGCAATTTCAAGTGAGCATTTACTTTTAGTGAAGCCCAGTTTTGTAAGATACTGTTTCTAATAGAAAAACTTGTGAACTGTTTTATAGGTATTAAGTTCTTGTTCCTCTGTAGGGAGTTAGGGATGACAGATTGGGTGGGAGGTCAGTAAGAATTTCAGAGTCAGGGTTTTGACTGGGGACTTAAGGAAGGAGGTAAGAGGTTGAAATATCAGATGTGAGAAAAAGAAACGGACTAAGATTAGCTGGTGACACTGGAGGTCTTTTCATATTAGAAATCATAATTTTTAGTGGGGCCAGGTAAACCTATTTATATTTTTGTTCATTTTCTTTTTTTTTTTCCTCTTTTAAACTGAGAAACAGAAGAGTTTAGAATATTTTGCTTAAAATGTCAGAATACACTAAATAAGTTTGGGTTAGTCTCAGGTAGGGGTTCTTACATCTAAGCAACTGCCTCATTGCAGTGTCATCTATACATAGCTACAGAATATATAGGCAGTGAATGATTTCAGTTAGAGTAACTCGATTTGACATTGTTACAATGTTAAAGACAAACGACACTTGTCAAAACGTCCACTCAGAAATGTATAGAAGTACAGAGAAATAATGTACAAATTTCAGGAGAGAAAGAGAAAATAGATCCCTTTCCATTGCATTTACATGTTTATTTGCTTGTTTAAGCCAGGAGAATTTACCAAAGAATGTTACCAGCATACTAGTGTTTTCTTACCAAGTTAGTGCATAGAAGTGTAATTAAGAGACTACTTTTAAATTTTTTGAAGGCCTGGCTCTTCCTTCTGTTGCCTCTAAACTTGGAATGGCATTTTTAGTCAGTTTTATTAGAGGAAGAATAGCTTAACCAATTGAATTCTCAGTAGCATTTTTTTGTGGCAGATTGATAATAACTCCTAGAGGTTCTAAGTGGAGTGCCACTTCGATTATAAATTGAACTAGGCGTGATGGCATGCTTGTTGATGATAGTGGAACATAATTATATATTCTCTTAATTACTGTTTCTTGCCACTGTGATTATTTTATACTGGAATATTACCATATTGCAAAATTGTTACTCAAGTTCTCTTACTGAAAAGATGACAGTTAAGATTTAAGTTGAATTTATATTGATTGTAGATGACTGTTAACAGTATTCAACTGGAATAACATATATTTTAAAATAATTCTGTCAGAAGGGGATTGACCAGGAAGAATTTCTTTTGTGTACTCTTAAGATGCACAATTTAAATGATTTTATTGCTGTTTATGTATAAGCCATAAAATATTTTAACATATGGAGTATGAGCTAAATGTTTATATACAGTTGCCAGAAAGGAAGGTACAAACTTTCGTAGAATACAAACACCAAAAGGACTTTAGCAGTAGTTCTTTGATGGTTTGAGTAAATACTTAATCTTGAATTTCTGAGTGAAAATGGGGTCAAGTTGCTTGAGCAGATTTTTCTCCTTTAAGACATCTCTAGTACTTAGGTATAGAGCACTGCATTGCCATTTTCAGAAAACAGTCCTACTTTTATATGGCCCTTTACTTTATAGAATTATTTTATGGGAGCTGGTTCCTTTCTACTACGAGGGGAAAAAAGGAAATTTATATGAGGTATGGTGTTTGTGCTTTTACCTTTTTCTAACCAACAATTTCAGGCAATCCTTACTCTTCTAAATTTTAGTTTGATTACTGAAAAACCTGTAATTAGGAACTTTAAACTGCAATTAGGAACTTTAAACTGATCCTGAAAGTCATATTATGCTCTGACTTCTGGTATAGTGATAAATTTGAAGCCCCTTAAGTTGTAAGGTATTCTGGTAATGTTCATTGCAGTCTGTATTCTCTGATAGTTTCCCTTTCAGGACTCAGTAATGGTGCAGATAATCCAGTGAGATCCCTTATAATGATACTTCAGGGCTTATAAGGGTGTGAATTGGATATGGATGTTAGACAGGGTTTAATTTTGAGTAATAGGAACTTGAGTGTATGTATAGCCCTTTCATCACTCAAAGAAAGATATATACTTCAATTATAGTTGTATATGAATATATTTTTAGAAATTTTTTGCCAATTATATGACTGTTTCTTTGCCATGCAGAAGGTTTGACTTACATGTAGTCATATTTATCAATCTTTAACTTCTGGCTTTTGGATTTTGAATTACAGTTAGAAAGATTGTTCTTATTTTATAAGATAATTAAGATGCATAATCTTATTTCTTTAGTAGATAAAGATATATACGTTTAAAATTAACTATATTCATAAGTCAGCGTTAACTTGTATTCTCCTTCTAGGAATCTGTTTGTTTTCAGTGTATGATTTCTATTATCTTAATATATATATCATTCAAACAATGAATTTTAAAATAAATGTAATCTTTTATAGATATTTTGAATAGAGTAAACCCCAGCTCATATTCAAGGGGAATAAAGAATGGTGCGCTCAGCCGAGGTACAGTATTATTGTACTATTTTTGTTTTAAAGTGAAGTATTTTGACATCATTGATTATATAGAAATATATTCAATGTGTTGTATAATTTTAAAATACAGGTATTACTGCTGCATTCAAGCCTACAAGTCAACACTACACGAACCCAACATCAAATCCAGTGCCTGCCTCGCCAGTAAATTTTCATCCTGAATCTAGATCTTCAGATAGTTCTGTTATTGTTCAGCCTTTGTCTAAACCTGTAAGTGTTTCTGAAACTACACAGCCAGCTGAGGGATACATTGGATATTATTTATCAGTATCAACAATGCCTAGTTAAAATTCTGTACTACCATGGGTAATCATCTAATGGAATCATAATCAGCATCAGAAAATGTCACCTTCTCTATGATAGCTCAACTGGTACCCAAATAATAATTGCAGTAACAAACTACTCAGCCTGTTTTTAAATTAGGTAATATGCTTAAATTAAATAGGTACAGTATTGAAAACTGTGCTATCAAAACATGAATAAAAGTATAATTAGTAATGAATATTGCATAATGGCAAACTATTTCAGATTGTAAATTGGGCCAAATGTTCTTAGTTCTAAAAAAAAAAAAAAAAAAAATGTTCTTAGTTCTTAATTGGGAAAATTGCTAAGAGGCTACTGGAGCTTTTTATTCTGAAAACATACCGTCATAGTTTAGTTAGTTTAAATAACTCTTAACAGAAACTAATAGTTAATATTTACTGAGTTGTTAATATGTGCAAGGCTTTGTGCTAAATGCTGTACATGAATTAATTTCATTTAATTCTTAAATGTTCCTATGAAGTAGGCACTATTATTTTTCTCTGTTTTATAGTTGAGGAAACTGAGGCTCACAGTGAATTTAAATAATTAAATATTAAATTTAATAATTTAAATAATTCACTCAGGGTCACACAGCTGGCAAATGATAGATCTGGGATTTCAATCCAGACTAATCCATAGTTTATTTGTATTTGTATATACATGCATGTGTATTGTACGTAAATGTATACTTCTAAAAAAAAATGGAAGCATTGCCTTAGTGTGAAAGTTTTCAAAGTGTAGTCTTCAGTCCCCTGGGGTTCCTGTAAGACTCTTTTATAGGTTTTGGATCAACAGTATTGTCACAATAACACAAAGACACTTTTTTCACTGTGTTGTGTTTTCACTGTGTTGACATTTGCACCGATGATGCAAAAGCAGTGGTGGGTAAACTGCTGGTTCCTTAGTATGAATAGTAGTTTTTGTATTAGTCACCACCCTGCACTCACAATAAAAATTATTCCAGTCATACTGCGTTCCCTTGATGAAGAATTAAAACGTTATTAATTTTATTAACTCTCTACCCTTGGATACATGTGTCTTTTAAAATATTTTGTGTGATGAAATGGGTGGTGTGCATAAAGTATTACTGTGTCTGAGGTATGATTATCTTGAGGAAAAGCACTAGTGTGATTAAATTGTGAGCTAAACTACCCAGAAGACCATTTTTAACTTGAAAGGATGACTGACAAACCATGGTTTATACTACTATTAACTTAATGGTTTAAAAACACCTACTTTTATTATCTCACAGATTTTGTGGGTCAGGAGTCAGGTCATATCTTCATAGTCCCTAAAGGCTTCATTCAAGGTGTGGGCTCTGAGCTTGCAGTCTCATCTGAAGCTCTCAACTCAGGAAGTATCTGCTTCCAAGTTCTCATGCTTATTTGTACCATTCGGTTCCTTAAGGGTTGTCAGATTGAGAGTCTCAGAATTTTAGTGGCTTTTGGCTGGCTCCTTGCCAGGTGGGTCTTTCCAACATGGCTTCTTACTTCCTCGAAGCACACAAGGAAGAGAGAATCCTTAGCAGGATGGCATTACAGCCTTATGTAATGTAATCACATACAAAAAAATCATGTACATTCTGTCACTTTTGCTATATTCTGTCAGAAACAAGTCATGTGTCTTGTGCACACTCCAAGAGAGGGAATCACACAGGACATGAATACCAGGGCGTGGGGATCATGGAAGCTACTTTAAAGTCTGTCTGCCACACACGAGTTCTTCAGTCTTTGCTGTTTGGTAGACAGTTCCTCAAAATTGAACAAAGTGCACCTGCCACTTCAAGGAAAACAACTGGTGGTATTTCTTGCCACCGATGAAATTTGAGCTATCAAGCAAAGTTAGAATTTTGAACAACTTGAACCTGAACCTGCCATCATGATCTTGACAGCTTCCCAGTACGTAAAATCTTTTCTGGTGGGTGGCGGTATTAATAAATATGATTTTTTGATATTGTGTAATTTTTCAACATTTGGAAGATGTGCGTAATTCAAAGAAACCAATATTTTCTAAATAACTAATATATGATGTCATAAAATCATGCATGGATAAGATTCATTCAAAGTGCAAGATAAGGCTAATAGATTTTAATGTAACAAAGTTCAAAAAAGTCAGTGATAAGGAGTGAGATTCCACATTGCAACAAACCTTTAAGAGAATACCAACTGTCGGGCTTCCCTGGTGGCGCAGTGGTTGAGAGTCCGCCTGCTGATGCAGGGGACACGGGTTCGTGCCCCGGTCCGGGAAGATCCCACATGCCGCAGAGCGGCTGGGACTGTGAGCCATGGCCGCTGAGCCTGCGCGTCCACAACAGGAGAGGCCACAACAGTGAGAGGCCCGTGTACCGCAAAAAAAAAAGAAAAAAAAAAAGAAAATACCAACTGTTGAGTTTTGGTATTGTATCAAAGAAATATAACCCCATTTATTCTAATTTGCTATTAAAATATTCCCTTTTTCAACTATTAATTTTTATGAAGCCAGATTATATTCTTCAACCGAAACAACATATTTTAACAGAATGAAAGCCAAAGCAGGTATGAGAGTATAGCAGTTTTTGATTAATCTAGACATTAAAGAGATTTGCAGAAATGTAAAACAGTGCCACTATTTTCACTGATTTTTTGTGTTTGCTAGATAAGCCATTTTTTACAAAATGTTATTTATGTTAATCTGTAGTGGATTTATTATTGTTTAAAATGAAATTAATAAATATTTTTAAAATTTCTCTGTTTTAATCTCTAATATGGTAAATATCAGTAGATATAACCTACCTAAGTAAAAATTCTTTTGGGTCCTCAGTAATTTTTCAATGTGTAGAGGGGTTCTGAAACCAAGGAGTTAGAGTACTAAAACAAAAAGTTACCCAAAATGTGAAGATTCTTTGCTACTGGACTTGAATTAACTCAGTGGATTTTTTCATGCTTCATAAGCTATTTGGCATTGACCTTACAGAAATAGTAAATTTCCCCTAAAATGTTTGTTCTTTTTATAATAAGTGAAACAACTACCAAAGCACCTATAAATTTTCTTGCAAATATTCAATTTCAAAACCAGAATTGAATCCAGATATTTTTGGTATGACTAATCCATTTTTCCTTCACTTTATATCATATTACTATAAGGTAATCTACATATTTGTTACCACTAAAAATTGATATTTGAGGTGTATCTTTCATAGAAGGCTTATTAAATTTAATTTACATGAAAAGAAAAATCTATGGCTAAATAAACTCTGCCCCCACTTATATTTTGAAGAGGTCATATATCATAAAAAATAAGAGTATCTTTGGGCAAATACCACGCCCCCCCAAATCTTTTCTGTAGTTTTAGCATTCTGAAATAATAATATTGATATGAGCCCTGGACTAGTAGTTTAAATAACTTAAGATTGAAGCAAGAGACTTGAATGCTGATTCTGCCTTGTTCTCAACTAAAGCATTGGCAAAACCTCTCTGAGCCTCATTTTCTTCATTTCTAAAATGAGAGATAATTTTACCCAGACTGCTGATTCTCAATCTTGGATCCTAAGATGGTAAGCTACCCAAAATGTAAAGATTCTTTGTTATTAGTGGAATCAAATTAACTTGGTAGGTTTCTCATGCGTATTGTAAGCTGTTTGGCATTTGGAAGGATAGAAAACCGGAAAAAGAAACTTTATTATTTAATTCAGTTTGATAGATAAAAATCTTTCCAACATTGGACCCAGGGGGAAAAAAAATAAAGTGAGGGGTGATATCTTTGGTATTATAAAAGTTAGAAACTAGAGCTTTTTCTAACTCAAAATGTTTTACTTCTGTGGGCATAGTTTTTAAATCAAAACACCTCAATTGATAGTTCCAGATCTTGGGGAGTTTTTAAAAGGCGAAATTTTGTCAGTTGGTCTGGGTGGATGGGTCTTGGAAGTAATACATTTTAAAAAGCTCTCCAGGTGATTCTAATGTGCACAGATAAGAATGACATATATTCTGGAATGAATTGAGGACGCTATGTAAGGAAATTATTTACTGTGAATTTTGGAAGCCACTGCTTTTAATTATAGTTTTTCATTTTATGTCATGTTTTGTATGTATGTGTATATTTACTTTTTCATGTAACATCTCTATACTTCAGTGTCTCTTTTAAATCTGTTTCAGGTAGTGGGGATATATTGTTATCATTTAAAAAGTCAGTGTGATATAGCTTAAGGGCATAGGCTTTGTAATTAGACCCAACTTCTAATTACAGCTCCATCAATAATAAGTGGGGCTGTATTAGGAACCTTGCATAACCACACCTAACCTTAGTTTACCTACTTATAAAATGGGGTATAAGGTCTTTGTGACAACTGCTTGATTTAATACATGCAGTGAACCGTGAAGTGCAAGTATATTTAAAATATGACTGTGGCTTGTGTTTTAGGTGTGAAGGGTGAATAACTTCAAGTTCAGAAGTGACTTGCCCAAGGTTTTGTAGCTAAATAAATGTGCGGATTTTCTGGATCCCAGTCTAGCACCCATTCTACCCTTACTGTTGTGTTTGATATCTTTCTGAAAAGTTTTAGGAGACTTTAAAAATTCCATGTTGGATAATTATTTTAACCAGTTACTGTTTTTTTTGTTGTTTTTAAAATTTATTTTTGGCTGCATTGGGTCTTCCCTGCTGCGCACAGGCTTTCTGTAGTTGTGGCGAGTGGGGGCTACTCTTTGTTGCGGTGCGCAGGCTTCTCCTTGTGGTGGCTTCTCTGGTTGTGGAGCACGGGCTCTAGGCACACAGGCTTCAGTGATTGCAGCACGCAGACTCAGTAGTTGTGGCTCGTGGGCTCTAGAGGGCAGGCTTAGTAGTTGTGGCGCATGGGCTTAGTTGCTTCGACAACATGTGGGGTATTCCCAGACCAGGGATCGAACCCATGTCCCCTGCGTTGGCAGGTGGATTCTCATCCACTGCACCACTCGGGAAGTCTACCAGGTATTGTTGAATAATGTGTGCCTGCTCTCTGAAACTGTGGTGCTTACATTAGCCAGAGTTATTTCCTAGGAAAGTGTTTAACAGTATTAACTTTGTACTTCTGTTAAAGAACTGTTTTAGAAAATGTAGGTGAATATTATCCATTTTTTTAAGTGTAAATATTTGAAGAAAATATCTTGAAGCAAGATTGTGCTTGGTTACAATTAAGTTAGATGGCATCACAGATTTTTTCTTTTTTAAATGTTGCACGTTAAGCCTCAAATGCAAATATCTGTTAGGCTTCAAATTCTTTGAGTGGCTTGGGTTACTTCGATACCCATTTCCATAACAACTTCTTTTTTTTTAAAACAGCAACAATCATTTATTTAGTCACAGATCTGCAATGCGTGCAGGGTGTGGTGAGGAAGGCTTATGTCTTTTTTAAATTAAGAAAAAAAATTTTATTGAGGTGTAGTTGACATACAGCATATTTGTTTCAGATGTACAGCATAATGATTCAATATTTGTATATATTGTGAAATGATCACCACAGTAAGTCTAGTTAAAGTCCGTCACCATACCTCGTTACAGAATTTTTTTCTTGTGATGAGAAATTTTAAGATCTCTCTTAGTAACTTTCACATATGCAGCACAGCATTATTAACTTTAGTCACCATGCTGAACTTCACATCCCCATAATTTATTTATTTTATAACTGGAAGCTTATTCACTTTGACTCCCTTCACCCATATTTTGTTTCTATAACTTCCCATGGACAAACTCATGTCAATAGAAAAGTTAGTAGTAAACCAAAATTCTTAAAACTTATTTGTCCCTTAATTTATAAGCACAAAATAAGCAAAACCTTCCCGTTTGTATTTTGAAATAATATGTATTTTGTTGGGAAAGTTTAGAAAGAGAGAAGTGTACATACTGTATTTTGATTTTTCCCCCCTTCAAACAGTGTAGATTATATCAGTCAGAACCAAACTATATACACAGATGCATATTTCTCTTTTTTCACTGAACATTCTACTAGGAATTTGTCACTGGATATTTCTCAAAAACATATTAGTGGCTGCATGGTAATCTTTTAATTTATTTAACCATTTTTCCATTGTTGGACATAAAGATTTTAATTTTTTGCTGTTAAAAATAATTCTCCAATAAACAGTTTCACTTCCTTACTATAAATTTTTAAAGTGGAATCGTTGGATGAAAGGATGTGAACTAATATAAAGCCTGTGATAGCTGCTGCCACAATTTTCATGTGGAAAAGTTATACCTAAATATAGCTTCTATGTTGCCAGTAGTATATGTTATTATTTTTTAATTGATAAATTTTAATTTTATTTCAAACTAATTTTAGACTTACAGGAAATATAATACAATATCCCTAATGCTGACATTTTACTTATCAAAACTAAATTGCAGACCTTATTTGAATTTTACTAGTTTTTCCATTAATGTCATTTTTCATTCCCAGCATCCTATTTAGGATCACACCTTAACAGTTTGTTATTTCTTCTTAGTCTCCTCATATTTTTCTACAGTTACTTACTCTTTGTCTCTTATGACCTTGATACTTTCAAGAGAAGTGGCAATTATTTTGTGTTATGTAATTGCCATTGTCTTTACTTGCATTTCTTTGACTAGTAAGTTGGGAAAAAAGTTTTTTGTATGTATTGGTCATTTGTTTTTTGCTTTTGAAGTGCCTCAGTTTATGCCCTTTGCCAATTTTTCTCTTAAAGTGACTTTTTCCCTTTTGATCTTTAAGTCTTGTTAAATCTTAGAGCTTTTGCTTGTTATATATTATGACTCATAGAATGGTCCAAAATCACTCTAATGAGAGCTCACTCTGTACAATGATGGTCTTTTATAAATAGAATTGGGTTCTATTTTTGTGTATGTGTATCAGTATATTTAATATATAATAGTTTTGGAATACATATATATCCCTAAATTATATTGACCACATTTTATGATTATTTATATTAATATATGTGTGTGCTAACATATAAATTTATACTATCTTATATTTGACTATATTATGATTCATTTCATACTTTTCACTCTTGATATCTTCCTGTTAACTGGGACCACACTTTCTCCTGATGGAAGGGCTGAAACTTTCCTTGAGCTCCAAGCACTTCAGGAATGGAGCAGGTGTCCCAGATCAGTCCTATAAACAGCTTCCATTCTAAACCCTGTGTGCCTAGCTTTCTTGTTTGCTCACCCTGCTGACCTGGCAGTTTTGTATTTGCCCTAAGAGGTGGGAGATTGCCTGGCCCAGCATGGCTTTCCGTAGGGTGCTGGGAAGAGGGGGGACCCATTAGTTTTCTTTCTAAGACTTGGCTTATAAATTTTGCCAGTAAAGACGATCCCAAAACTCATATCATGTGATATGTTCATCCTTAACCCTGATGCACCATACTGCAGATTAATTCCCAGTATGTTTGCCCTGATATTTTTATCTGTGGGGTTTATAGAGGTATAGAAGCTTCTAAAATTGTACGTATGTCAGAATATTTACATATTTTTTCCTTGCTTTTACCCAAAGATTTTGGTAAGTTCTATTATTTGCTCTTTGATAGGAATCCTGCATTTTTAGTGACCCTCTGAAGTGTATCAGTCTTACTGATTTAAAATGGGTTTGTATGTTTCTTTTACCTTGAAAAAATATCAGGCTAGAATTTTCCCCCCATTTTAATTGACAAGTCAGGAACAAGCTTTCAGTTTTAGTAGATGATAATTTTGGCATAATAGTAATAATTGCCTTTGTGTTTTATAACTTATTAGTAATGGAGTCATCGAAGGTTATCCTTATAATATTGGCATACAGATAAATTTACCTTTATAAAAGCTTATGAAACAAAATAATTGTAATTATGTTGAATATATGTAATGTTCTTCCTTTGAAATATTTTAACAGGGTTATGTAACGAAGTCATCACGAGTTGTTTCTAATAATTCTTCAGAGTTACTGTTTGACTTGACCCAGGATACAGGATTACCACTTTACCAAGGAGGACCAACACTTTCTATAGCAGGTTGGTTTCAGCACTTTTTCAAAAAATTAGAAAAAGAAACTTGATGAATATGCATATGGAATTGACTTTCTGTTCTGAAGTCCATGCCTTCAAGTTAAGTTTTTCACATATTGTAAGGTGTAATGGCGCTAGTAGTTCTCGAATGCCTTTTTAGGTAGTTTTAAATGAAATCTTATTTACTAATAGAATATTTTATTTCTTCCTGTTAATTAAGTAGGCTAACCAACTTTGACCTTGTTCGCACTTGGCATTAAACATGGCCTGAAAAAGCTTTTATTTTTATTTGTTATTTTAATTTTATTGGAGCAGAGTTGATTTACAATGTTGTGTTAGTTTCAGGTGTACAACAAAGTGATGTTATACATATACATATATTCATTCTTTTTTAGATTCTTTTCTCATATAGGTTATCACAGAATACTGAGTAGAGTTTCCTGTGCTATACAGTAGGTCCTTGTTGGTTATCTATCTGATATATAATAGTGTGTGTATGTTCATCCCAAGATCCTGATTTATCCCTCCCCACCACGTTTCCCTTTTGGTAACCATAAGTTTGTTTTCGATATCTGTAAGTCTGTTTCTGTTTTGTAAATAAGTTCATTTGTATCATTTTTTAAAATTAGATTCCACATATGAATGATATCATATGATATTTGTTCTTGTCTGACTTACTTCACTTAGTATGATAATCTCTAGGTCCATCCATGTTGCTGCAAATGGCATTATTTCATTCTTTTTATGGCTGAGTAATATTCCATCGTATATATGTACCACATCTTCTTTATCCATTCCTCTGTTGATGGACATTTAGGTTGCTTTCATGTCTTGGCTATTGTAAATAGAGCTGCAGTGAACATTGGGGTGCATGTATCTTTTCAAAGTATGGTTTTCTCCGGATATATGCCTAGGAGTGGGATTGCTGGATCATATGGTAACTCTTTTTTTATTTTTTTAAGGAACCTCCATACTGTTCTCCGTAATGGTTATACCAATTTACATTCCCATCAACAGTGTAGGAGTCTTCCCTTTTCTCCACACCCTTTCCAGCGTTCATTGTTTGTAAACTTTTTGACGATGGCCATTCTGACCGGTGTGGGTGATACCTCATTGTAGTTTTGATTTGCATTTCTCTGATAATTAGTGATGTTGAGGATCTTTTCATGTGCTTTTTAGCCATCTGTATGTCTTCTTTGGAGAAATGTCTATTTAGATCTTCTGCCCATTTTTTGATTGGGTTGTTTGGTTTTTTTGACATAGAGCTGCGTGAGCTGTTTGTACATTTTGGCAATTAATCCCTTGTTCGTTGCTTAGTTTGCAAATATTTTCTCCCATTCTGTGGGTTGTCTTTTCATTTTGTTTATGGTTTCCTTTGCTGTGCAGAACGTTTCAAATTTAATTAGGTCCCATTGTTTTGGTTTTTATTTTCATTACTCTAGGAGGTGGATCAAAAAAGATATTGCTGCAGTTTATGTCAAAGAGTGTTCTTCCTGTTTTCCTCTAAGAGTTTTATAGTGTCTGGCCTTACATTTAGGTCTTTGATCCATTTTGAGTTTATTTTTCTGTGTGATGTTAGAGAATGTTCTAATTTCATTCTTTTACATGTAGCTGTCCGGTTTTCCCAGCACCACTTATTGAAGAGTCTGTCTTTTCTCCATTGTATATTCTTGCCTCCTTTGTCATAGATTAATTGACAGTAGGTGCGTGGGTTTAGTTCTGGGCTTTCTATCCTGTTCCATTGATCTGTATTTCTGTTTTTGAGAAAAACCTTAAAATAATATCTATAAGTTAGAGAAGTCCTCTGATATCCTAAATACTCTGTTAAAAGGAATATTTATTATGTTCTATGACCACTAGTATGGAAAAGTGTATGGTTATAGTTAAATTCTCAATTAGGTTAGTGTGTTTCTATTCAAATAAATGATTTAGGTATAAAATATGATTACAGAGTGCTGTTATAAAGTGGCTGCACTAAATTTGTCTGTAGTCATTACTCAGTAAATGCCTGTTGAAGGAGTAATGAAATTTCCCTATTGAAGAAGTTACTTTTATTATATACTATTAACAAAGTTCTTCATTAACCAAAAATAAATTAGTGTGTTATGAAAGAATTTTATCTAATTGAAAATTCCTTGTACAGGCAGTTATGCTTTGTATACTAGCAATTTTGATATATTTCAGATATTTGACTAAATTGAGATTTGGGGGAATTTTTAGATTTTTCACTAATAAATTAGTGTGGAAAATTTACCAAATGCTTCCTGATTTTTTTAATAGTAATATCAGTACCTAAAATGTTTTTCCACTTAGATAATATTTAGTTGATATTCACTTCTTCGGGTATCACCTACAAATTTGTAAAAAACTAGTTAGTAAAATAGGTAAGAACCAAAAGAAACAAGGAGAAAAAATAATTGTCTTAAGTCTGGTTTTACAAAACACATGAACTTTATTTATAGAAAAAGTCTGAGTTCTTGAAACTTCTTGGGGCTAAGAACAGTGACTCCTGCTCTCCTTCTAAGTTTTTTTCTGCAGAGAGACTTTAGCCTGTAGATTTGAACTGCTATTCTTAAGATTTTTGTAGCCTTTAGCATGTCTTTACACTTCAGTTTTCTCATACTATTAAAATAGAGATTTTATTTTTCTTATTTAATGCATTCATTCTCCAGACCTTCAATCAGCCATTTGTAGATATAATTTTAATTCTTGCTCTATTTCAATTAGGGCTTTCTGAAGCCCAAATAAGATAAATAAAACGTGAAATGCATTATAAGCTTTAAAGGACTCTACAACAAATATTTGTTATGAATGGTAACAGGTGCAATATGTTCAATAGCATTAACTGATCAAGGTCAAGTGATCATGGATATTTGGAGAGAACTGGGTTTGAGTTTGATCTTGAATGAGAATAGGATTTTTACTGGCCAAGACAGAGGTGTTGAGTGTGGGAAACAATACAAGCCAAAGACAATAGAGATGTTCAAGGGTCAGAATTTAAAACTCTTAAATTCAGAGTAATTTTATTTCTTATGTTAAAAAAATACTTATAATAAAAGTCCAATGTACTGTCTAGGCTGTTATATAATCAGAATATTAATCCAAAATACCAGCACTCATTAGCTTTTCAGGTAACCTCAGCATCTCACAAGAATGCTACTGTGATTACACAGAATGTTTCCCGCGTTCCCATAGTATAGCCGTCAGTAATCACATGCTTTGAAGGTAGAAAAAAAAAATCATTTTTGTGTTATCTCAAAGGATGAAACAGAGGAGCCAACTATTGTAATACTCTTATTTTCCGGGCATATTTCTCCTTATTAAAAAGCAGACAGGTGAATCTATTACAATAATTTTTTCCCCTCTGAAGTAAGTTAAGATATAAAATATTTTATTAGTAAAGATAATAGCTGTTTTTTATTATTGAATGCTTTCTATGTACTAGATGTTGTGTTGGTTGCTTTTAAAAGTAAGTTAAGATATGAAATTTTTTTAGTAATGATAATAGCTTTCATTTATTATTGATTGCCTTGTTTGTACCAAATACTGTATTCGGTGTTTTAAATACAGTATCTTATTTGATCTTAAAAGTGCTGTGTTAAAGACACAGACCTACTAGAGAATGGACTTGAGGATATGGGGAGGAGGAAGGGTAAGCTGTGACAAAGCGAGAGAGAGGCATGGACATATATACACTACCAAACGTAAGGTAGATAGCTAGTGGGAAGCAGCCGCATAGCACAGGGAGATCAGCTCGGTGCTTTGTAACCGCCTGGAGGGGTGGGAGGGATAGGGAGGGTGGGAGGGAGGGAGACGAAAGAGGGAGGAGATATGGGAACATATGTATATATATATAACTGATTCATTTTGTTGTAAAACAGAAACTAACACACCATTGTAAAGCAATTATACTCCAATAAAGATGTTTAAAAAAAAAGCGCTGTGTAAAATAAGGTATTATAACTCTTACTTTATAAAAGAACAAACTGAGGCTCAGGGAAGTTAATTAAATAAGCCAAGAATACATAGCTGTCAGTGACAGAGCCTGGATTTGATCTTATCCTGTCTGGTTTAAAAGCCTGGAATATTTCTAGTGTATTTACTGCTTATACTTTTAGTGTACAGTTGGGAGCATTAGAATATGATGTGCAGTTTTAAAATCCTTGTTACCCAGCCTAGTTATAGCCTAAATATCCCCATTTCCCTTGCTATGGCTCTGAATAAGGCTAAAATCCTTTAGCAAAAAAGTTATAGTTTTCAAACTAAGACTTCATTTAGGAATGAAATTCCTGTAAAAACAAAATTTTATGCAAAAGTCTAATAAGTAAAATATAAAAGCAGAGTTTCTCTGTCAAACACACCCAGGGTATTCCCTAAGAGGAGCCCATTAAGCTCTGGGGAAGATAATTTGAAAACCATAGTATAATACTAACTCTATTATGAACCCTTTCACATGAATGAATGAATGAGGTTTTATCATTCAAGATTAGTAGTTTCCACTTTGTATGTAGGAATAAATGGGTAATATAACCTAAAGCCATCAGTAGACCACCTCTTAGTTAGGTGGACAAAGCTAACTTTTCATTAGACATTTTAAGTCATTAAATAAAAAGCTTATAAAGTGTCTCTCTAAATTTTTGGGTTTTTTTTTTTTAAAACAAACTCACGCACTTAAGCATCTAAAGTTAATTCATTTGTGGGAACCCTGGCATATTCTTTGTGCTTTAACTTTTTTTGTGTTTTTGCTTGCTCTGCCTTCTTTAATAATAGCTGTTTATATATTTCTTTATTTGAAATTATATTTAGTATTGCCTTACATAGAAAGGTATTTTATGAATAATTTGAATATATATAGTATGTAATAGATATTTATACAGTTTCTTTATATCCCCTAACATTTGATCACATCAATTTTTGTCATTATTTATTGTTACTTGTATGATGTGATAATTCAATTATATTACATTTAATTTCACTCCAAAGTATTTTTACTTAGTTGTAAGCAATGTTCTAAAGTCTTTAAAAATATTTTCTCACTATTTAAATCATTATAGGTATGAATGAAAGTTCATTTTTATCAAAACGTCCTTCTACTTCTGAAGTAAACAGTGTTAATCCAAAAAAGTCTAAACCCAGTGAAGGTGTTTCTGGAACAAATTCCTCAGCTGTATTTTCTTCAGTTAAATCTCTTTCAGTGACATCTCCCCAGGCTATGCCGTCAAAAGGTAAATATGAAATGTAGCATATAAAAAAGAAATTATAGTATTTATATATGAATTATAGAAATTGTAATACAGACTATCAATAATGGTTATTGAAGGTTAAAAAGTGATGAATTTTGAATCATATATATTTTGAATTTATTTTAGGTACAAATATCTCATCAAATCAATCTAAAAATGGAACACCTTTTCCAAGAGCTTGTCCAAAGTGCAATATTCATTTCAATCTTTTGGATCCTTTGAAAAATCACATGAAGGTAAAACTTTTTCAAAATTTAATTTTAAAAAGGTTTGCAAATCCCTAAAAATATTGATTGATTTGCAGTAAATAATGATTTGTTCAGATATTTAGATAAGAAATATTCTCATATTGGTATTTACATATGTTAGGTAAAAGTTTATATTCATAATGATTGTCTTTATATAAGATTTTAAAATTCCTTCTGAAACATCAAATTTAAAAAATTGTTCATATACATTATAATGTCTGCTTATTGTATTCTAATTTTAAATGAAAATAATGCATTGTTCAGAATATCTTATTTACTAGCTTATGCATACTTGAAACTTCTTAAAAATAGGCATTTTATTATGTGTTTAATATTTCATATAAGTTAACAGTTCCTTTAGTTATCTTTTTTGTTCATACTAACATGTGCATGTCATGTTACACAATGAAAATCTTAGTTTTACTTTAATTTCAGCACTCAGGCATAAACTCCAAATGATGGAGGATTTTATATGAAATAATTGTTTTAACTTAGTCCAGAATATAGTTTGTGTAATTGTTATAAATTAATTTGAGCTTATTATTGGTATAAGAAGCTCCTGAAATTAGATTTTAAGAAATTTTCAAAGTACAAATGAAATAGGAGGTTTAGGTAACACTTCACTTAAAATATTTCGGTAGATATTACAGTACCCTGCTGTGTCTGTGGAAAGATAGCCTGTATTCTTCTTCTGTGCCCGGTATAAATGCAAGGAAGGGGGAAAGAGACAAGAAAAAAGGCAGTGTAGATCATATGGAGAAAAGAAGGAAGGAGAAGGATGCAATGGTAAAGGAAAAGTTTCTAAGGAAAAGTTTCAGGGATTGCTCACTGTTTCAGGGATTGACAAATCTTTTTTGAAATTCAGTATTTTACAAAAAAAGTAGAAAAAAATAAAGGAACTTTTTAATTTTAAATATAGTCTCTTTATTTAAATACAAAACTATTTGGTCTGTGACTACTTCTAGCTCGCAAGTACTCCCTGATAATTGCACTTTGTGGTTTTTTCTTATATGAGAATTAACCTGTACAAGTGCTTTCAGTTTTCCTATTTATGTAATATTTTGATGAGATAACCTGATGTTTTTTCATGTTTTGCATTTGGACATAGGGAAAAAAGAAAGGGTTAAATTCTTTAGTTATCTTTAGTTATTTGAATAGGTAATAGTCATATGATTCAAAATTGAAAAGTTTACAAAGGCATACAAGTAAAAACTCTTATCCCTGTCTCTTATTTACCTGTTCCCAGTATGACTCTCAAAGGAAATAATTTTTATTAGTTTGTTTTCTATCCTCCCTGGTCTTCTTTCTGCATAAACAGGTGAACACAAGTGCTCTTCTTTTCTGTTTTGTGTACAAGCTGTAGCACATTATATATACTGTACCTGGTGAGACTGGCAATCATTTTCCAAAATGTAGCTTTACTTCCAAAACATACTATAACATTGTTTGTGATTACTCATATTAGAAACAATCACAACTTCATATAATATTCATATAATAAAACACTATTCAGCATTTTTAAAAAGGATGGAACCTTTAGAACGATGATATGGGAAGATAGCTCTAAGACATATTATTGAACTAAGTTGAATGTATTATGAATAACTTATTATATTCCTTTATATCATAAAGAAATCTTAGAGAATAGTCACCAGATTTTGGACAGGGAAGTATAAAATTATGGAGACTTTATGTTCTAGATGATGCATTTTATACATAAATTATAATTTACAATAATTTCTATTTTGAAAAAAATAAGATTTTTATATTATTTGTAAATGATTTTTTTGCTTTTATTATAGATAGATGACTGTACCACAGAAATATTGTTTTCTTTCAATGAAGAATACCTAAAACATAATTCAAATATGCTACAATAATAACAACAATATACTTACCTGAGACCATGTGAGACTACTAAGCTTTAAATACATTATTTCATTTAATCCTTAGAAAATTATTTGAGATAGACATTTTTCTCATTGTTTTATAGCCAGTTAATTGGCATAACTGGTATTCAAACTTAATGGTAAAAAGCTCAAGTTCTCCCAAATACTTATTATTATTCCCCTTTTGACAAGTGTATGGGCTATTTAACTTGAAGATAGGTACATTATTTCTTTTTAGGGAATTTGATATTTATCAACCAGATCTAGCTTATTAATTACATTATTTAGATTTCTATAACTTAACTTATTTTTTTGTTTACTTGCTCTGTCATGGATTGAGAAATACCACATCTCAATCCACATCTTTCACCACCAATATATTTTTTTGCTTTATTGCAATTCTGTTTTAAGATTGTTGCTATTGTTTGTGATACAGATGAATCTCTTTTAGAACTGTATTGTGAATGCATCCTTTAGCATTTTTATAAAGTGTCCTTTTTTGTTTTAAAGTTTAATGACTTTTAGGCTCACCCCTTGTTTTCTTCTGGTTTCTATTTGCCTAGTGTATTCTTTGTTTATCCTTTTATTTTCAACCCTTTTGAGTGGCTTTGTTTTAAGTATGCCTCTTGCTTTAAGCAGAAAGTTGTGATCCTATAATGAAAATCTTTTTTGTTTCAGTAGCTGAGTTAAATTTACTTATTTTCATAGATGTGATAGGTTTATTTGATCTTGGTTCTGTCACAATTTTTTGCTAACTCTTTTCTTCCTCTCTCTCTCTCTCTCTTTCTTTCTTTCACTATGTTGTTGCTTTACATGTATGTAATTTGGGTTTTTAGGGAAGTTGTATTTTTGTTTTCCTTTTTATCCTTTAAATTTTAATGTTAATATAATTCCAGTAGTCTTCTATTCCTTAGGCTATTCTCTGCTATTAAAATTGATTAAAGTAGCATTAAATTTCCTATTCTTAACCCCATCCTTACCTTCTCCTCTCCTACTGATTTTAGTCAATATTATCTTTCTGAGTGTACTATTTCTTTGTACTATTGAAAATGCTCATACCTGCACTTCTTTATTTGGTAGCTCTAAATTATATTCCTTGATGTACTGCTACCATATGTGAATCAATCTATGAACTCTCTTGACCTCATATTTATTGTCCTTTTACCTCCTTTTAGTTTTTATTTGTTGGTTGTATCATTTTTCCATTGTCAGGGCATATGACATTTTCATTCAGTTTTCTTAACCTTATTTCCGTATTTGTTTTAATCCTTTTCCACAGTAAATATATTCAGTGCTCATCACCAGTCTTTTTGTTATGGTTCCTTTGGTTATCTCTTGTTTGACTAAAGTTCATCCCATAGTAATTTCCTGAGGAAGGGCCTGAGAACAGTATTCTTTGAGTTCCTTCATGTTCAAAACAGTTTGACTATAGTCCATTCATGAAAGACAGTTTGGCCAGATACAAAGTTGGATCCCACTTTGAGGATCTTGTTGGTGTTACAGCTTTTGTTTTACAATATCTAATGTTGTTGTTAAGAATTTGGGATAAGTTTGAATTATTTTGCCCTTTATAAATGATTTGCTTTTTTTGCCTGGCTGTCCAGAGGATTCTTTATTTTGAAAGACTGATAATTCTACAGTGACTTCGTGTTGAGAATTTTGGATCAATCTTCTCTGACATACAGCATGTTCTTTCAGCTTGTAAATTTGTGTCTTCCTTTATTTTAGTGCAGTTTTCTTGATTTGTATCTTTAAATTCCATACAACTGTTTTGTTATTTGGGGGGCTGGGTGTTGTCCAGTACTCATTTGTTCATTTGTTCAATGTCCTTTGTCTGGCATATTTGTGATTTTCTTCCTAATCCTTTTAATTCTTTCTCTCTTCCTTCTTCTCTCCTCTCCTCTCCCCTCCCCTCCCCTTCCCTCTTTCTTTTAATTTACTAAGCTTTTCTCATTTATTTTATTTTCCAACATCTGTTCACCAGTGTACTTTTCTAATTTGTGTTTAGCTATCTGGTTTTATTTTTTTTCTCTACTTTTACTCTTGATTTTGCCACTCTTTATGTCTTCTTTTTGTCTTGCCATCTCTTCTTGCTTTTTGGTTTTCCAAATAGACACAGTTGCTTCATTAAGTTTTTTTAAATTTATGGCAAAAATTTTGGCCCCTGTTTTCATCTGCATCTGCTCTAAGGTGTTTTTTTGAGAATTTTACACTTCCTCAGTTTATCTTAAAGTATTTTTGTTTAGATGTAAGTTCCTATCATATTGAACAAGTTAGATTTTCTTGGGTTTGTTTTGTACAAAGCTCCTTTTGGGAAGCATAGGTTGCCAGGATAATCTCACAGCCTATTAGCTGGTTTATACAACTTCTTCCTGTAAGTGTAACTTGTGTGTCTGATTTTATATGTAGCATTCCTTTTCTGTTTCTCTGTACTGAATGAGGTTTGAGGAATTTCTGCCATCCTTCTTGCTCCAGCTCCTACACTTGGTTTTGCAAACAAAGAACATAGATTTGCACTTCATGATGTGTATTTCACCTTAGAATATATGTTTTCCTGACACTTTCTAAGGTCTGTTAACATTGAGTTCTTTTGACTTCTCTGGTCTGCTTCCAGCTGTCTCTCTTCTGCCTGATCTGGCTGCTTTTGGTAGTGCTTTCATATGTTGTGGAGTCTGTGGATTCTGACTTTGAGTTTTAATGAAAATTAAATTTTTGGAATTTGGTTGTTGTGGTTTTTTGGATGTATCTCACAAGGAGAAGGGAAAAATGTTGACTTGTGTAGGATGACCATATGGGAAGTGTTTTTTTCCTATTTAAAAATGGTACCCCTTCTTTGCTCTGGAAATCCCATCTAAATTTTTAGGTACTAACAAAGCAACAGAACATGGTATATCTATTGGGAGGAGTAAAGATTAGTATGGTGTTTAGATGTTATCTACTGTTTGTCAAATTATAGTATATGGCATTAAAGTGTTTAATATTTGCAGAATGACTAACCCAGGAAATAAGGGATGAACCTGGGGTTACAGTGAAGGGCTAGAACCAAAAGGGTACTAGGGCTGAATAAAAGGTGACCAGTTAGTGTTGGGCCATAGCTCAGCTGTGCCATCCATCACTTGTTCTGTCTTACCATAAAACTTTAAATCTAAGCCTAGTTCTCATTTCTTAACTTACTTTCTTGTCTTTTGGATATTTTCTGTAAGATACCATCTTCTCAATTACTAAATCCCCCAACCTTCTTCAGTGCACCTCATCCATTCTTGGTTGTCAGTGGTTTATCATTCAGCTATTTTATAGGAATATGAAACATTGTTTAAAGGATATTGTGAATGAGATTTGCATGTTTATTTTTAAAATCTGGTCCTATCTTGCTTTTCTGTAGAACAAAAAAGAAACTGGAAGAACAGCAAACAATTTATCGTCTATAATGCATTTATGAGTATTTAGGGTAACAAACGTTTATAGATATACTAAATTAGACATTTCTGGAGAATATAAACCTTGCAGCACACTCTACTGTAGATTACATAGATTATTTTATAGATTTCAGAAGAGAATCAATTCTCAAATGTGACTCAGAGTAACTCCTACAGTCTGAAAGCCAGATTTAATGTTTGAGTATATAAGATTTTCCACATTTCTAATTAATGAGACTATTCTGTATTACGTCATTTTGTGCAGTATAATTTTTTCCAATTGATGTTTGAGATCATCCCTATAGTAAAACTGCAGATAAGATGAGGAATTTTGTCTATCAAAATGATGTTACTGATACACATCATTTGTAGTAAGACATATATTAAATCATTTTTCTAATAGTGTTGGTGAGTTTACTCTGACTCATCCTTTTCTCCATTTGTCCTTAAAGTCAAAAACAACATTTTTAGACTTTAGCTTTCTAAAGTCCTTTGTAACAGTGCGACTTTTTTTTAAAAAAACTAAATTTTTATTTATTTATTTATTTATTTTTGGCTGTGTTGGGTCTTCGTTGCTGCGAGCAGGCTTTCTCTAGTTGCAGCGAGTGGGGGCTACTCTTTGTTGCAGTGCGTGGGCTTCTCATTGCAGTGGCTTCTTCTGTTGCAGAGCACGGCTCTAGGTGCACGGGCTTCAGTAGTTGTGGCTCGCAGGCTCTAGATTGCAGGCTCACTAGTTGTGGTGCATGGGCTTAGTTGCTCCGTGGCATGTGGGATCTTCCCGGACCAGGGCTCAAACCCGTGTCCCCTGCATTGGCAGGCGGATTTTTAACCACTGTGCCACCAGGGAAACCCCAGTGTGACTTTCTTAAGTTTGAGCTCTTAAATATTATGTGTCTCAAGAAGAATCTAGAAACATAGGTAGCAAAACCTTTCTCATTTCCCTCTTTTTATTGTGGTTTCATTTCAATTGTGTTTATTCAGAGTGGTAGACTACAGAGGGTCATGTTGTCTTAGAGAATTCATACCCTTATCCTAATTAAGCTTATGGGTGCAACCTTAACTCCTAAGCATAAATTATGTCACTTTTTTGTCAGTTCATTTTATTTAGTATTTTTTTCTCCTCTCTTTTGGATCTATTTCAGATTTTTTATGTGTGTTCTTTTCCTCTGTAGGTTTCAGAATTGACAAGTGAACAAAATAAGTGCAATCGAAGGAAATATTATAGGTCTGTCTTGCATCAAAAGTCCAGCTTCTCATGTGACACAGAAAGTTTCACCAATAATGTAACATTTCAGTATGGCAGGAGAGGAAGTGGATTTTGTTATTCTTAGAAATGGAATAGAGTTGTGTTTAGATTTTCAGACTTTCTTATGATGCTACTAATTTATGAGCTAACATGTTTAGGAAGAGTTTAAGTCAGTTGGTTTATGTTGTAAAAGAATTATGTAGGTGCCTTGTTAAAAAATATAGATTTCTGGGCTCTACCTGTAGACTTTGTGGCTTATTGGTCTGAAGTAGGCCCAGGAATTAGCATTTTGACAAGTGCTTCTGGTTTTTCTAATGCAGGTCTTCCTTGGATAGCCCTCTGAGTAAAACTGCCTTAGAGAAATTCTAAAACTGAAAATTATGTACAATAAATTAATTATCTTGTTGGAAAAAAAAAGCTCATGTATGAAAGTATTTCATATTGGAACCAGTTTATATGACATCTTGATTTTCCAAATGAGGAACTAAATTTCCCCGGCAAATATATAAGCATTCTAGATTTCAAGATGTAACTGTTGAAGCTTTCAAGACATGACCGATGGTTCTTTATTTTTTCCCTATGCATTTTTTAGCACCTTGAGTCTAAGGAATGGCAGGATAGCTGTGCTCGATATCCAGTTCCAACCAGATATTATGATATGTAGTATATATATAGTTAAACATATACATTATGGCATGTAAAACTACATTTCCATTCTATACTCTGTCATGGCATGGATATGAACAATGTTTAGTTTTAATTTAAGTGTTGTTAAATATTTACATCTGAAAAGACAAATTATAAGGAAAAGACTATTAGATCAATAGTCGAGTCCTGGTTTTAAGGTCTTTCTTTTCTTTCTTTAAAAAAATTTTTTTAAATTAAGATAATAGATGTTTATTGTTTGAGATTTGGAGAGTATGTATATGCACCACAAGCTTTTGGTGAATATTTTTCCAGATATATCGCCAAGCATAGTTTTACATGGTCTGACCTTAGTTGTAAACAAAGAACCGTATTTTGGTTTCTAATTGTTTTAAGAGATAAATAAGACTTCTGTTTTTTCTCTTTCAGTACTGTTGTCCAGACATGATAAATAACTTTTTGGGACTGGCTAAAACAGAATTTTCAAGTACAGCAAATAAAAGTAAGACTGTTGATTCAGAAAAAGGAAAACTGATCATGTTAGTTAATGACTTTTATTATGGAAAACATGAAGGAGATGTCCAGGAAGAACAGAAGACTTACACAACCTTTAAATGCTTCAGTTGCTTGAAAATTCTTAAAAATAATATCAGGTATGTTAGCACTTATTTTTATTTCTACTTGAAAATTGGAATGCTACAGATATAAATGTTGTATCTTTATCTTGCATTTTTAATGTTATTCTAGATAAGAGATTTTAACACTTTGCACTAAGAACAAAGACATATTCTCTTGTTAAAAAGCTTTTGTCTTTTCTTATATTTTAGAGTTGACTCTTGGATCCAGTTAGTTGTATTTCTTTAAAATAACTTAAGAAAGGACAAACTTTATTTCAAATAAAACAAAATTAACTTCTTTTACCTATATTATCAGTGATCTAGGAATTTTCATGAGATAATTTTCATATTTAGCTGCTTTTGAATTTTATTTTTTTCACACCACAAGAAGAACCACTTATTTATGTTTTGTCCAGTTTGACCTCTTATATACTAATCTTGTTTAATGCTCAAATCCCATAAAAGAGTTAGTTACAAGAATAAAATGAGAAGACATATTGATTGATATTTTTATTGGTTACATAGCTTGACATTTATATTTGGTAAGGTTTTTTACCATCATTTTATTATAAAGATTTTCAACATTCAACAAATTTAAAAATATTTTGTAATGGACACTTGTATACTTATCATCTTGATTCTATCATTAACATTTAACTGTACTTGCTTCATCATATAGCTATTCATCCTTCCTTCAAACTATCTGGGTTTTTTTATGCATTTGAAAGTAAGTTGCAGATGTCAGTGTACTTCCATCAGTTGAGGCATGTATGTGTGTACAAACATACATATGCATAACTTTTTATATTTACCCTTGGTGACTATTATTTGTAATTAGCATTCTTAGGTACCTATAGTTTACTTGTAGACCCAGCATTTATTTTATTTTCCTGTGAGTTCTTGGGTCCAAGAAGAAGCATATAGAAAAACCCTGCAATACACTGCGATAAACTCCTATATTAATAATTTTTTTATGGTAGTGCTTTATAGTTTTAAAAATTCTTTTACGTATATTATTTCATACAAGTTTTCACATTTATCTCCTTTCGTCAAGTTTTAACAGACATCAATAGCTAATGGTCCCAGTAGCTTAACAGAAGGAATATTGTACTTGGAGGTATAACACTGAAACAATATTACAATAGAACTCTTTCCCCTATTTTCACATTTTTACCATTTTAATAGTAAAATACACCAGAAAAATCATGTTAATATAGTAAAGTGCATAGAAATATGGCTCCCCTGCTTAGTTCTTTGTTATTCTTAAATGTTATATATATATGATATTAGAATTTATTTCAGCAGTAGTTTTTTTTATTTTCCTTTGAGATTAACACATTAATATTAAACATATGAAAGTAAAAATTTTCTTTTTTTTGTTATTGTTTCAGAATACTAGTTACATATTTCTAGAGTGTCCTAATATCTAGAAATTTTAAGCAAGCAGCACCTGGTAACATCCAGGAATTGAGCTTTTTTTGAAATACTGATTGTTTAGTAAATGTAACCTTAATAGAAAACAATTTATAACCAAAGAAGTTCAATATGCTAAGTAATATTTTACCTTGATAGTAAAAACTGGGAGGGTAAATTGGTATTTGTAGAGAATGGTAAGAAGCTGATAGCTGTAGATTTCTGTTCTCTGCCCTGTCAATGTATGGTGTTTTTTTCCCTACATTGAGTGTCACCCAAAACAGGTTTATTTTATTCTGTGAATATCCTTGCAAGATGTTTGCTTTTTTCGTTTCCCTCATTTCCATCTGTTGGTTTAAGTAGTATGAGCTCCTGATGGGGGCCCATATAATAATTGAGAGAAAGCTTGCTAGTTAAGAAATTATTTTATTTAGATACATTTTAATTGCTGAAAGTCGTAAGCTGAGCGTTTAATGGCTCATGACATTTTCTCTATACCTAAATATTTAGCCAAGACTAGGATTTCCTATAGGTGTTTGTAGAGCTGGTGTAAAAACCAAAGGAAGTCTAAAAGATATTTCAAAGTGTACCATAACCTGTACTAAAGAGTAGCATTGTGTGAGGTGTGAAAAAAAAAAAGTGTTATAACCTTTATGATGATTGCTATCCAGATTGATGATATTATCACTTAATTTCAACATTATTTCCTGTAGTGACTCAAAGTGAGTAATTGTTAATAGTTGACCCCGTCTAAAAATTGTTATTTTGATTGAATAACTTTACTTTCAAATTCAGCAAAAAGCTTCAGTAAGCTCTTTTAAATAGGCATTCCCATTTATATTGCACTCTCTGTTGTGGAAGGTCATAGTTCCTGCTCATAAGAAGCCTTTTTAGGGAAGCTGAAATAGCAGAATGTAAAACTGAAAAATGGACATTGCCTACAAAGGGCACAGTCTGCAAGTTAAAATGAACAGTCTTTGCTAACAGTAAACCAGTATCATTAAATAAGACAAAAGGTTCTTGTAATTGTAGGCATTAAAATTGCTATTACATGCATTTAGAAACCAAGACACAAGTAAAAATACCAGTAATTTGTTTTTTAAGCAGCTAGAATTTAATGTATATCTTCATAGCTTAAGAGATTTCTCTCATGACTCTGTAGCTGCTTTTGGTGGTAGAGTTTCCTTCCTTTCAGTATTTTATTTAAAAGTGTAAGTAGTATTTCTTGTATGGAGAAGAAACCTGCTGTTTTATCTTTAAAAAAATTTTAATAATCTGAAATGATCAAGAGAGCCAATTAGTGATATTTCAAATTCATAATAACTATTTATTTTAAAACAAGGATGAAAAGATGTTGACTTAGTTACTTAATAAAAGTGATTATTTAAAGTGCACACTTTTCTAGAGGACTTTAAGACTTTTGAGATTTTATTTTCAGTAATCATATCTCTAATTTTAAGATTTAGATTCAAGTACTTATTTGTGAGATTTTTGTTTTTAAATCTGAATTTTTGCACCTGTTGACAATCATTTATAGGTTTATGAACCACATGAAACATCATTTGGAACTTGAGAAGCAGAGCAGTGAAAGCTGGGAAAACCACACCACCTGCCAGCACTGCTACCGTCAGTTTCCCACACCATTTCAACTGCAGTGTCACATTGAAAGTACACACACACCCCATGAATTTTCTAGTAAGTTACAATTTCATTTAAGTATTGAGTATTTTGATTTTAACAATGTAAACTCTGAGAAAAGTTTGTTACTGAACTCTGAACAAGTGTGTTAGAAAAATAAGAATAAGAAGATGACTTTGAAATTTGAGAGTAAAGTTGAAAAAGTTAATTTTTAACTTATATAAACTTTTAAATAAAATTAGTTACTGAAATTAAATTCCCTCTTATAAATAATTCACTATGGTAAATAACCTGTGCATTACATATGGGGGACTAAATTAGAAGCCTCAGATAATAGTTTTCAAATATGAAATCAGTGCCCTTCTTTTAAACTTGAATAAGAAAAGTAAATAGAACGGTAGTTAAAATCACAGATTTTGGAGCAAGACAGCTTGGGTTCACATCCAAGCTCTGCCTCTTAATATGTGATCTTAATGTGATCTCAGACAGGTCACTTAATATTTGAATAATGGGGATAATAAAAATACCTGCTTCATAATGTTTTGATGGGAACTGAGTTAATGTAAGTAAAGTCCTTAGAACTGTGCATGGCACACAGTTGACAACTATGGAACTGTTCACCACTACCACCACCACCAATACTACTACTGTTATTATTGTTGTTGTTGATATAGATGTACAAAATGAATTATATATGTATATATCTGATTTTGTTTATTTGCCTCGATAGGATACTTTTTAAGAAAATTGAAGTGTAATTGACATATAATATTGTATTAGTTTCAGGTGTACAACATAATGATTGAATACTTATGTGTATATGTATATCTTAAAATGGTGTAATGTCTTTTTTCCCCCACTTTCAGCCATTTGCAAAATATGTGAATTATCATTTGAAACAGAGCATATTCTTTTACAACATATGAAGGACAATCATAAACCTGGTGAAATGCCATATATTTGCCAGGTATACACATATTTTATTGTATACATCGTGTTTGTTTTGTTTGTTTGTTATCTCTTGTTTTGGTTACAAGATTTAAACCTATTAGGCCAGGCATCAGCAAATTTTTTATATAAAGGGCAAGATAGTATTCAGGCTTTGAGGATCATAGGTCTCCGTTGCAACTAATCAACTCTGCCATTGTAGCACACAGGCAGCCATAGACAATAAGTGGATGAATGGGTATGACTGTGTTTCAATATAACTTTATTTATGGACACTGAAATTTGAATTTCATATAATTTTCACGTCATGAAATATATTTTATTTTTCTAACCATTTCGATAAAATTGGTTGCTAAAATTAAAGTATCTTCTGTAAATAATTTATTAGTAGGAAGTCTCTTGGCATAACTCATACATTGTTATGTAGGGTCAGCAGACAGTTGGAACTGGCCCATAGGCCATTGTTTGCCCATTCCTGTACTAGACAAAGAAAAGCCCTGTGGCAGAAAGACAAACATGAACTTATCTTACCCTGTAGGGAAGAATGTAGGCATACAAGGGAAATATAAAATGCTTTTACTTCAGAGAACCCTACCAAATGCTTTGGGACTAGTATTTTTCCAGAATTTGGAGGAATGAGAAAGTAAGATAAAAATAAATTGTCACTTCCGTAGCCTGGAGGCCATTTATAATCTAAAGGAAGATGCTATTTTATATAGCAGAAGAACTTTATAGTACCAGAGGTGTCAGAGTTTGAAAACTCAAGTCAAGATTGGGGGTGACAGATAAAAATATCTGATAAAAATAAGGGAATCTAGTTATATTTTGGGAAGTATCCTTAAGCTCTGAAAGGTAATGACGCTTCTGTCTCAAAGATTATCTTTCGATGTTTGCATTAATGGAATTCTTGGTTGCGTAGGCATCAGAGCTGAATTAATAGTACAAAATATTCTTCTGAACAAGTGACCTATCATTCTTACTTTGAAATTGGATATCATTATAAGTTTTCAAGTTAAACTAAATCTCTTTTTTTTGTAGGTTTGCAGTTATAGATCATCATCATTTTCTGATGTAGAAACTCATTTTAGAACATCCCATGAAAACACTAAGAACTTGCTATGTCCGTTTTGCCTCAAAGTTATTAAAATTGCAACACCCTATATGCATCATTACATGAAGCATCAGGTGAGATTTGCCAGTTTTTATTCCTTTAATGTTGTTTTAGAGAAAAGATAGATTATGACTTAGAACATTGGTTAGATTTGTTCTGCAAGGGAAGCAGCATTGTTCCAAATGACATGATTAATTTGCAATTTATGCTGAATTACCTGTGAAACTTCCACTTCTTTTCCTTGCTTCCTTTCTGGTGATGATGTGGTTCCTACATGAAAATTCTGAAAGATAGCTAGAAATAAGAAACCTTGGATTGAAGGAAAAAAGAGAAGATGAGTGGAAGAATATCCAAAAGATTGGATATTTCGAGGCTAAGAATTACCTTCTGGGAAAGGTAATTATCAGGAGCAGGGAAAAAGATGAGTTTGAACTGATAAAGAAGATTGATGACTCATAATCGTGTTTTCCTCTTTCTCTTCAAACTTTATTCCCACTTTTAGCTCCCATATTATAAGACATGTTGGCGTCATTGACCAGGAGTGGTCTTTTATAGCTGCCAGGGATAGAGGAAGCAGTAGTGACACTTATTGCTTGATATATGAACTCTGGCAAATAACTGTATTTAGTCCTGCTACGTAATTTTTGGGACCCAGTATTAGTGCTTATACCCATCTCTTGAACTCTGATATTATACTTACTGGTTCTTTTCCTGAAGCAGTTAAGTCATCCTTTGGGCTGAAAAGTTTAATGCAACACTGATCCTGTTCTTAAGTGCTTGAAAGAACAATAACAGCGCCTTTGGCAAAACCAGAAGTCAGTGGATTTATTCAGTATGATCATGTAATCAAGTTTTGCCACCTCACTAATTAGCTCATTACATTTTCTTGTTATTGATTAAACTGGCATGTCAGTTTATTCAGCATTGGTGCTCACTTTGCTTTCCATTCTAGTCATTAGATAATCATGAAATCGGCTTGTGGTTCTTCATTGGGAAAGATCATAAAAGTAGAATTTCCAAATAAATTTGGGATCACCTATGTTGTGACTGGGTTGCTACCTAACCTTGAGGAGTTCTGGCAAGATCTTTTGATTCTGGGTTTCCCCGGCAATTTTCCATCAGTTGTTAATACATGTTCCCGCCCCCCCCCCCCACCAATTGCTACTGGTAAATGAATTTGGTAAAGGCCTAGATTTACAAAATTAAATCGTTGTTTCTTTTTCACAACAGGATTCCTCAGAAATTTTAATACGCTAATGAACATTGTAAATCTCTAAGTAATGATATTATATGTATTCCCCAGACTTATTTGGCTATTGAACCCTTTATTTGCTCAATACCTATTAACATTTCTTGCGGAACAGAGTTTGAGAAACACTATTCTTGATACTCTGTATTTCTTCTTTGGCTTTTAATTTTCAAAGGGAGAATAAAGTATAAAACAGTAGTTTTATTTCATTATGGGGATTTAACATCATTTTCCCCATATGCTATATTAAGCTTCAGAGTGAGATATAGATGTAGGAAGAATGATAATTATGAAGGAGATGTGTGGGCCAACTGTATGGGCTATATGAATTTTTTTTAACGTTTTTATTGGAGTATAATTGCTTTACAATGGTATGTTAGTTTCCGTTTTATAACAAAGTGAATCAGTTATACATATACATATATCCTCATATCTCTTCCCTCTTGCATCTCCCTCCCTCCCACCCTCCCTATCCCACCCTTGTAGCTGGTCACAAAGCACCGAGCTGATCTCCCTATGCTATGTGACTACTTCCCACTAGCTATCTATTTTATATTTGGTAGTGTATATATGTCCATATATACACTACCACTCTCTCACTTTGTCCCAGCTTACCCTTCCTCTTCCCCGTGTCCTCAAGTCCATTCTCTAGTAGGTCTCAGTAGTTATTCCCTTCTTGCCCCTAGGTTCTTCATGAGCATTGTTTTTTTTTTTTTGTTAGATTTCATATATATGTGTTAGCATACGGTATTTGTTTTTCTCTTTCTGACTTACTTCACTCTGTATGACAGACTCTAGGTCCATCCACCTCACTACAGATAACTCAGTTTCGTTTCTTTTTATCGCTGAGTAACATTCCATTGTATATATGTGCCACATCTTCTTTATCCGTTCATCTGTCGATGGACACTTAGGTTGATTCCATGTCCTGGCTATTGTAAATAGAGCTGCAATGAACATTGTGGTACATGACTCTTGTTGAATTATGGTTTTCTCAGGGTATATGCCCAGTAGTGGGATTGCTGGGTCATATGGTAGTTCTATTTGTAGTTTTTTGAGGAACCTCCATACTGTTCTCCATAGTGGCTGTATCAATTTACATTCCCACCAACAGTGCAAGAGGGTTCCCTTTTCTCCACACTGTCTCCAGCATTTATTGTTTGCAGATTTTTTGATGATGGCCATTGTGACTGGTGTGAGATGATATCTCATTGTAGTTTTGATTTGCATTTCTCTAATGATTAATGATGTTGAACATCCTTTCATGTGTTTGTTGGCAATCTGTATATCATCTTTGGAGAAATGTCTCTTTAGGTCTTCTGCCCATTTTTGGATTGGGTTGTTTCTTTTTTTGATATTGAGCTGCATGAGATGCTTGTAAATTTTGGAGATTAATCCTTTGTCAGTTGCTTCATTTGCAAATATTTTCTCCCATTCTGAGGGTTGTCTTTTCATCTTCTTTATGGTTTCCTTTGCCTTTTGAATAAGTTCCAAAGCTTTTAAGTTTCATTAAGTCCCACTTGTTTATTTTTGTTTTTATTTCCATTTCTCTAGGAGGTGGATCAAAAGGATCTTGCTGTGATTGACGTCATAGAGTGTTCTGCCTATGTTTTCCTCTAAGAGTTTGATAGTGTCTGGCATTGCATTTAGGTCTTTAATCCATTTTGAGTTTATTTTTGTGTGTGGTATTAGGGAGTGTTTTAATTTCATTCTTTTACATGTAGCTGTCCAGTTTTCCCAGCACCACTTATTGAAGAGGCTGTCTTTTCTCCATTGTATATTCTTGCCTCCTTTATCAAAGATAAGGTGAGCATAGGTGTGTGGGTTTATCTCTGGGCTTTCTATCCTGTTCCATTGATATGTATTTCTGTTTTTCTGCCAGTACCATACTGTCCTGATTAATGTAGCTTTGTAGTATAGTCTGAAGTCTGGGAGCCTGATTCCTCCAGCTCTGTTTTTCTTTCCCAAGATTGCTTTGGCTATTCAGGGTCTTTTGTGTTTCCATACAGATTGTGAAATTTTTTGTTCTAGTTCTGTGAAAAATGCCAGTGGTAGTTTTATAGGGATTGCATTGAATCTGTAGATTGCTTTGGGTAATATAGTCATTTTCACAATGTTGATTCTTCTAATCCAGAACATGGTATATCTCTCCATCTATTTGTATCATCTTTCATTTCTTTCAACATTGTCTTATAATTTTCTGCATACAGGTCTTTTGTCTCCTTAGGTAGGTTTATTGCTAGGTATTTTATTCTTTTTGTTGCAATGGTAAATGGGAGTGTTTTCTTAATTTCATTTTCAGATTTTTCATCATTAGTATATAAGAATGCAAGAGATTTCTGTGCATTAATTTTGTATCCTGTTACTTTACCAAATTCATTGATTAGCTCTAGTAGTTTTCTGGTGGCATGTTTAGGATTCTCTATGTATAGTATCATGTCATCTGCAAACAGTGACAGCTTTACTTCTTCTTTTCCAATTCGGATTCCTTTTATTTCTTTTTCTTCTCTGATTGCTGTGGCTAAGACTTCCAAAACTATGTTGAATAATAGTGGTGAGAGTGGGCAACCTTGTCTTGTTCCTGATCTTCGTAGAAATGGTTTCAGTTTTTCACCATTGAGCACGAGGTTGGCTGTGGGTTTGTCATATGTGGCCTTTATTATGTTGAGGAAAGTTCCCTCTATGCCTTCTTTCTGCAGGGTTTTTATCATAAATTGGTGTTGAATTTTGTCAAAAGCTTTCTCTGCATCTATTGAGATGATCATATGGTTTTCCTCCTTTAATTTGTTAATATGGTATATCACATTGATTGATTTGCGTATATTGAAGAATCCTTGCATTCCTGGGATAAACCCCACTTGATCATGGTGTATGATCCTTTTAATGTGCTGTTGGATTCTGTTTGCTAGTATTCTGTTGAGGATTTTTGCATGTATGTTCATCAGTGATATTGGTCTGTAGTTTTCTTTTTTTGTGACATCTTTGTCTGGTTTTGGTATCAGGGTGATGGTGGCCTCGTAGAATGAATTTGGGAGAGTTCCTCCCTCTGCTGTATTTTGGAAGAGTTTGGGAAGGATAGGTGTTAGCTCTTTTCTAAATGTTTGATAGAATTTGCCTGTGAAACCATCTGGTCCTCGGCTTTTGTTTGTTCGAAGATTTTTAATCACAGTTTCAATTTCAGTGCTTGTGATTGGTCTGTTCATATTTTCTATTCCTTCCTGGTTCAGTCTCAGAAGGTTGTGCATTTCTAAGAATTTGTCCATTTTTTCCAGGTTGTCCATTTTATTGTCAAAGAGTTGCTTGTAGTAATCTCTCGTGATCCTTTGTATTTCTGCAGTGTCAGTTGTTACTTCCTCTCTTTCATTTTTAGTTCTGTTGATTTGAGTCTTCTCCCTTTTTTTCTTGATGAGTCTGGCTAATGGTTTATCAATTTTGTGTATCTTCTCAAAGAACCAGCTATTACTTTTATTGATCTTTGCTGTTGTTTCCTTCATTTCTTTTTCATTTATTTCTGATCTGATCTTTATGATTTCTTTCCTTCTGGTAACTTTGGGTTTTTTTTGTCCTTCTTTCTCTAATTGCTTTAGGTGTAAGATTGGGTTGTTTATTTGAGAGTTTCTTGTTTCTTAAGGTAAGATTGTACTGCTATCAACTTCCCTCTTGGAACTGCTTTTGCTGCATCCTATAGATTTTGGGTCATCGTGTTTTCTTTGTCATTTATTTCTACGTATTGTTTGATTTCCTCTTTGGTTTCTTCAGTGACTTCTTGGTTATTAAGTAGTGTATTGTTTAGCCTCCATGTGTTTGTATTTTTTACAGATTTTT